TCAGGTATCTGTGTCCCTGGTGCCAGGAATATCCACAGTGGTATCTATAGCTTAACAAAAACAAGGTCCCAACTGAAAGCCCAAGAGCACTAGATATGCTAAATCACAGCATGTGCTCATTCTTCTTTTGATCTCTTCTTATTTTCTTTCTTTTTCTTTCTTTTTTTTTTTTTTTTTTTTTTTAAATAAAGCAGAAAAACAGCTCCAACTGAAGAGCTCCACTATTAAGAGTAGCCTGGCTAGAGTAAACACAAGGTTGAAAACATTTTTGTAAGAGGTCCGAGTTCAATGAAAGATATGAAAGATAAAGCAAGTGAAAACAAACTCTTCATCTGCTATGAATGAAGAGGAAGGAAAGAATAGTTACTATCTGAGCATGTAATTAAACCCCAAATGAAAGGATATTGTTTTTCCTCATCAGCAGTGTTGTGTTAAGATGCACTTCAGGGGCATAAAACCACAACGGGAAAGGCCGTGAAATGTGAGGCCTCCCTGGAAAGGAATTCCTGTTGTTTGATCAAAGCAAGATAAGTGCCGAGGCGCGAGCCTGGTCAAACTCATCAAACAACTTGCTTCCCACATTAAACCACAAGCTTGCAACTTTTCTCCACAGCTTTAACAAAGCCTATGATCAGTGAAAACCCTTATTAAAAAAAACCTGCTAAACATTACTATATTCATGAAATACAGTTACAAGAATTGGGATGTTTTTGACTGAAACTTCATGTTACTGCTCCTGCCCTTGGAGCACGCTGCATATCTACATTGCTTCCACACCAAGCTAGTATTCTGCACTATTATTGCTTGTGTTGGTGAAAATTAAATTGGGCAAAGCTGTCATAATACCTTTTTATCTGCAGTGAATCAGAGGGAGGTTTATCCAAGTGAATCAGCGGGAGCATTACCACACATTTTACCGAGCCCATCAGCACGTACTTTACTGCATCTGTAGGTAGCGTTTGCAAAGCAATCACATGGCTCTATTAGTTGCATAGCTATTTGCCCATGTGAAATTATTCATTCTCCTCAAATACAAATTATGTGCTTGCAAACTTGGGAGCTGCTCAAAAGTCCAGTGAGCTGGAGGCAGGCGAAGGCAGCAAGCTCTCTCCCCACCGTGTTTTCTGTAGTATCAGGGTTACGTCCTCCAAGATCATGTCCCAAAATCTCATTATCTAACCACTTACCTGCCTGTTGAGAATCTAAGCTGAAACAGGTCAAAGCAGCAAGGGGAAGATGAGCAGAAACCTTGTTAGTTCTTTAGTAGGTCACAGAAAGAATTTCTTTGGGAGAGAAAAAGCTTCTGTAGAACTGGTCATAAGGTTTCCAGCAATACGTTTTCATCATAAATTACCACTTTATTGAAATGGAAACATTTCAAACTCAATGAATTCTTTTTGACAGACTGGATTTCTGTTCCTGTGCTGGCTAATTCCAGAGGGACTGACAGAAGCAGAGATGGCCCAAGCCACAAGCCTGACCTTTCAATTGAAGAAAGAACGCTTCTCAAAAATTCCATTTCACAATAAGCTCTTGAAAGCTTTGGCTTCAATGCAAAACAATTTGCAAAACTTGAAAGTCTGCAAATTTCACCTGTCGCCTTTTGGACCTCTCTGACTTTTGTTCAGCCTAACAACCCTAACAACCCCAACACCATTTGCAGTGATATATACAAGAACCCCCATCAGTCTGCAGGGGAAGAAGCTCAGTTTGAGTCGGTAACAAAAGATGTCTGTTAAGGATCCTCTAAAACCAATACAATAATAACTTACATATTCGAAACAGCCAAGCATTCAAGCATAAGCAGTCCAATAGGTGAGTAATCCTATTTCCAATGACAGATGAAGGATACACATATGTCACATAAACATACGAGACCCAGGCTTCCTCTTGGAGCCTTCTCAGGAATAGTAACATTTATTATGGCATTTTCTCTCCAAGGAGGCTCACAGTTTTGTCTTTATGAACCAGCTTACATAACATGCAGACAGCTCGCTTCACTCACACAGGAATACAGCAGCTACATGGAAGGCCACAACATGGTTTTTCTTCTTGCACTATTTGTTTTCTGTAAAGCTGTTCGACTCATTGCAGGACACAGGCTGTCACTATATTTACACAGTCATGCAGGATTTCCTCTCTAGCTTCATCTCCTAAGGAAGCCATCACCCATTCTCCCCTGGTCTTTTAGCCGGTTTGTTTGTTATAGCTGAAAGAAAGTCTGATTTTTTATTTTTTTTTTCCCAAACACTCTTACAATTATTTAAACACCTGCCTTGTGGTTTTCATTGAGTTACCATTAGCGTTCCAGCAAGGCTTGGTATCTGCTATTACCTTTGTAGATAGATGCCCAAATGTCCATCAGATGGAGAGGTAACAGACCAGAGCCTGATTTAATATCACAGATAAGATGGGTGTTCCTGTCTACTCTGCTACTCACAGTTTTAGGTCCTTTTTCAAAGACCACAGTGCTTTTCTCCCACAGAAATAACATGAGGAGATTTGCAAAGTTAGAAAAGTCAGACTTGCCACAAAACACAGACCTCAGATACTCATTCAACACATCATGAGGAAACAGATGCATTTCAGGTTCTCAACAAGTAGCTATGGGGAGGTTCAATAAAAATGTGCTATTTACTACATAATCCTAATGGAAAAGACATTTGCTGTGCTGGGAAACAAAAAGACTAAAGCACTCAAGTCAAGCATGGCATGTAATAAAGGTATTTTTAATATTAAAAAACATATTTGAAAATAATAGCTAACAGAACACTCTTAATTGCATTTTGCTTTTCAGTATTGTTTTGCTGGCAAGCAAACCTATTGCTTGCCAGTCCCAAAGGCTATGGCTATAAAAATAAATCCTATTGCAAAATATTTTATTCACAGATCTCTTATGGTTTTGGATTGTGACATTAGAGTTACCAATATGCAACACATAACAGACTCTTTTTTTATGCTAAGATACTTTTAAGTCTTCTCTTCCTTAAATCATTTTTTTTTTTTTAATGGGCCACATTTTTTTTTTAATTACTGCACAAATGGGACCAGATTTTGCTCTCTCCAATGATGGCCACAAGGTTTAACGATTGAGATTCTTCAATGGTGAGGCCATGAGGTCAGCCTGCGTACCTTGTGGTGCCAAAACCTCACGTGATTATTAAGGAAGTTGGATTTGAAGAGAGACACGACTGGAAAGATGATCTCCCTGTCTTCTGCCCCTCCAGTTTCTCCTGCCCCGGCCTTCACTAGGTGCCCCACATACTCCATGAGCCTCCTCTGTCCCACTCCTAAGCTGATCTCTGCACTCTGATGCTAATGGCACTCATTTGCCTATTAATAAATCCAAGCCAGGCACTAGTAAGAGTAGCAACACTTCTGTGTTTTTATAGACAAAAAAAATCATTGTTTTCTTTAGACATACCCGATCTGTTAGGTTTCAACTAAAGCTGACACGCTCCTTTACCTAAAGGGAACTCATTCATTATAGACTTTAATGATTTGATGACATCCTGTTTATCTCATACAGGACTTCAGAACGTCACTGAATAAAAAAAAAAAAAAGATTGAGTGTTTTTGCTCAACATTTTGCTATAGGAGCGTTGTATTGTATTTGAATAACGACGCTGCTTTGACAGTCAGGGACTTTAAATTGCCATGATAACATAAATAACTGCTGTAAAAGTAAATAGTCTAATGCTCCAGTCACTCAACACAGCTCTTACTGCTGGGATTACTGTGCGCTGACTGACAGTAAGTTTTAGAGCCCGACCCTTACTTTTTATTGAGTCTTCCTTACCTGCAGGTCCAAATCCCTCATTTGTTCTCCCAGTCTGCACAGACATGTCTCCAATTCCACTTTTAATACACTTTACTCACCACTAACCTCTAGCCAAAGGTCAAAAATCCAGACTAATCACAGCTGAATCTTGGACTCCAGAACCTGAGACCTAATCTAGATCCCAGGCAATGCAGTGAAACATTCCTGTTGACTTCCGTAGTGTCTGGAGAAGTCCATAACTTCTCGGATTTGACTTTGAATCAGTTTCATCTTCAACTAAAACTGAGGCACACTACTTAAGACCTGTGTATATCTGCAGGCTCTAACTTTTTTTTTTCTTTCCCCTAAAACAGAGCAGGTTCTTCTCTCTTACCTGACCTGAAAGCGAAGTGTTTCACAAAAAGGATCTGTATCACAGAGCTAAACTGCTGACACACAATTAAATAACTGGCATCAGCATTTACATTTCTAAAAACGTGCTTAACAAGCTGGAGAAAAAGGAAACAGAAGTGATGTGTGAAGGTCACCTTTAGCCCCATCTATTCAGAAATTGAAAAAATCTACATCCTGACAAAGTATAGGCGTTTTCCTAGGATCATTGGTCAAAAGAGACAAAATACATCTTGTCTACTTAATGAGGTTTAGTATCCCAGAAGAAAGTGAAATGACACACACATATATACACACACATCCAAGTTATTAACAGAAAGGAACTGGCAAAGGAAAGCAGTTTATTTCCCAGGAGAGTTAGCAAAATCAGACAATTCAGAAATAAAATAAAACCTTACCATATTCTGAGTTGTTACTTATTTTGTTTTTGTATGTGTCCTTTTTTCTTCTGAATGAAAGTGCTTTGCCACACTCAGTTTGGCACTTACCATGCCACAAATGGTGTTTTACTGTCTCTGAAAATTGGCACAGTTTAGCAGATCGGGAACTGACTTAAGTATATTTCTTTACTTTCTCTGCCTCCATCCTCTGTGCTTGCTTTCTTCTTGAGTTTTGTCTTTGTATCTTACTTTTTGGGTGCATTGAGTCTACCACCAAGGGGATTTTATGTACATTCTCTACACATTATTCCACTAAAGATGATATAATCAACATCATTGTTCTAATCTGAAATAGGCCATAAGAAGTCTCTATTTGGATTTTGGATTTTCAAAGCTTCTTTCTTAAAATCAAAGAAGGTAAGAAATAAAAAAAAAAAAAATCCACTCACCTAGACAGCAGTAATTTACCCTGAAGTTTCAAATCAGCAGCACAGTCATCAGACTGACAGTTCCTCTCAAAAACAGTCTGTGAAAAAGACAGAAAAGTACTGTTACAGCATGCAAAGGATATGATCAAAGTTCTTAAAAAAAATCTTAAAGCAGCAACATGTTTGGATGAAATGAAAGAATTGTGTAAGTTGTGATATGTAAATGTATGGTGAGAATGTTAAGGAAATTCAAAAGCAGCCAAATCACATCTTTATCAAAATCTCTTTCTTCTGTGATTATTGAAAAGAAGGTTCACCAAAATCAGACTCTCTTGGAGATTTTCCTCAGTCCATTCCTGCTTCCCATCTGACAAGAATGGGAATCTCACACAGTATTTCTGGCACTCTTATATCCGACTCCAACACATAAAGTAGAAGAGAAAATAAGAAACTGTTCAAGAAATTAGAGGAACTCATGAACCAAGCAGATTTTCTGGCCTAGAATAAAGATTTAAATTATTTGTTTAGATTGTTTATGTACTAGGAAACATTTCAGGTCTCCTATAAGCAACAGAAAAATACTAACAACTACAACACACCAATGATAACCTAAACAACAGAACTGCTGCCAAACTCATGAACTCTAGAAAAGACCACCATTTCCAAAACTAAATGGACTGATACGACTAGGATCTGAAAAATGCAGATATATCATGAGTCGAACATTTAAGCAGCAGAAGGACGTTGACAGAAAGGGAATATGTGTGACATCTACATAAGCCTAAGCAAATATCTATGACTATCATAAAGTGAGATAGGATGGCAGGAATATATTTGTGGTATCCAGGAAACCCAAATTCTGTCAACAACATGGTTACTTACCCACCCTCTCCCCACTGCTGCTTTTGAGAACAGGGACAAACACCCTTCTGCACAGCTGACTAGACTTTTTAGGTTGCAGGGTTCATTCTTGCAGACATGCAATGCTTTTTAGTTTATTAAATAATCAGAGGAAAAATACCCCAAATGAGAGTCACAGAAACTCCTCACCTAGGAAACCTGACACTTCACAAGTCTCTTCCTTTAGCATGAATATTCCTTCCCACAAAGTAATATTTCCGTGACACTTTTCTCCAAATTAAATAAATTCCAAGTGTAAAGGTGAAGAGACAGCAAACCTCTACAGGCTGCAGACAAAGTTCAGTGTTGCAGAGCCTCAGGGGAAAGAGGACAAACAGAGATAACGTGCTTGAATAGCTCTGCCCAACTGTATCAGCACTAGAGAAAGACTTTGAGTCTACATAGAGATTTCTAGTCTTTGTCTCACTAAGGAGATCCTCCCCAAAGGAGATAGACAGCTTTATATTTTCTGTGCTGTCTAAAATTTTGAAACAGACATAGACTTTTAGGAAGCTGCTTAGTGTTGGACAAGCAGATTTCAAACTACGAGGTAAGTAGCAAAAATTTCCAAAAAGATGAAAGACTGAAGAAAGTCAGGTGGTGGGCAGTTCATCTAGGGCTAGTTACTCTGATGACTCATTTTCCTTTTCTACCTTTTGCTTTCTCAGAATTTCAAAAGTGGAAATTGTTGAGGATTTAAATTCAAGGGCTGGATTTAAATTTTCTCCTTAATAAAGATTACTACACCAAAGGTTAATTATCATGAGACAAGCCAGTCCCTAGACAAGAGATGACAAGGGAATCACTCTCAAAATGTGGAATATTTCAGAGATATGCTCTGAAAGTCCTCAGAATTAATCCTCAAGAGCTAGAGCAGATATATATAGGAAAGACTGTTTGACCTTCACAGGAGAAAGAAAAATAAACTGTAGAAATATCCTTGCCTGACAATTTCCCTGTTTGCATTGCAGAAATCTTGGCAAAGTGAACAGGTCAATCAAAGATATGACCTACACTTTTAAAAGATTTAAGTACTCTAAATACATTTAAGGAACTACCTAATAATTCTGGAATTTTGTTTCTAAACCTATAGCTCATCAGGAATGACGAAACACTTTGTTTCCTGAAACTACTAAGCACATATCTCTTCCACTACATCACGCACTACAGCACAAACTACTTTGAAAGCCATTAGGAATTTCTTGTGCTAGAGCAGATCATGTTCCTCTGCAACACTGAGTTAAAGGCTCTTGAGCTCATTCAGGTTTGGGGGAGAAAGGATTTCCAGTCCCATCCAGAATTTCCCAGTGTTCAGGATGCTCTCAAGACTGCTGGAACTGGTTGTCAACTGAGATTCCTAGTTGATGGTAACTCTGGATTATTTTGCCATTTGGCACCATTTCCCTGGACTGACCAGACAATGCCGTGACTGCATCCCACCTTTCTTGTGTGCTTGCTAGAGCCTTAACCACGTCACTTTATGGAGCCAACTCAATCTGCTTTCTTGATTTTCTCTTGCACTGTGTTGGCCCCTCCCTGCTCCACTCCACAAAGACGTCTTCATCTGCCTTTCTGGTTGACCAATTTCTGGTATGTCCAAATCCCTCCTAAAGAATTACCGAGCAAGCACATTGTCATCACAACATTTGTGAATATCATCCATATATTCTCCTATTATACCTTTACTTGGCCTGTTTGGGCTGGGATCTCTCTAGGCCAGAAACCACCAGCTGGTCATTTGCTTGTTGTTTAGAGCACAGGAGGATAAATACAACTGCATTTTTATATCAAGGCCACAGTACTTCTGTCTGGCATTTCTGTGAGACAAACCTGATAGTGAGCTTGTGTGCTCATTAGCGCAAAGATGATAATCCCGATGCTTTTAGGACACACTATGTTCACAGCACAAGCAGAGAACCAATGCCAGCTAATGACGGCACATGCTAAATGAGCTCATCAGATATCATGGCATCACTAGATCTACAGCACAGCAAGGTAAATCCAGTATTTTTAGGATCTGTGATTTTTCTCTGCACTCTCTTTTGTTGTGTAGGACCTGGCAGCTCCTGAGAACTGCCCTGTAGAACTTCCTACCAGGTCACCACACATCCTGGACAAACACGCAGTTTCCTCAAATTCCTCCTGACAGCTCTTCTGGGCAGAAACTGTGGCAGATGCATCCTTAACGGTCAGAAGATATGGATGCATATTATGTTGCCAAAGTCCTTTACAGGGCAATTCAGAGAGTCTAATTGAAAAGACACTAACTATAAAGAGTGAACAGGTTTATTTGTACACAACAGACACCAAGAAGAGATCTAGAACTAGCTGAGGAGGAGGATGCAACTAGACAGGCACTCAGCTCAGGGCCTCATAGCAAGTGCCTTCGTGTCCAGTCCATCTCTTGAAAAACAGCAAAAGGTTGCATTCCGCATTTTGTGGTACAAGCCACGTGCATGTCCATCCATAATCATCTGCCTCAGGAAGGAATCAGTGGTTGAATCCGTAGTTCCTGTATCCTAAAACATCCTAAGCAGGTGGGTAAGGATATTCTGCTATTCCTTCTTGCTGATCCTGGACTACTGTGAAGCTAGAAAAAAAACACACATGTCAGAGACCAACTTGAGCCTAATAGCTTTAGCTGCCTACTCAGAGGAACCAATCTGGAGGTTCAAACCTGACTCTCTAGTTTAGTTCAGTTCCTTCCAATGACTATCTAAAATTAAAAACATAATGTTTCTGGGAGCAGGGAAGGGAACTAGAAACAGAGAAACTGAAAAAGGCTATGTTGACAGCAATCCTGTGCACAGAAAATACTGGAAATCATCTAATAAACAAAAGAAAGAGAAAAAAGTATCTCAAGATATTTAACCACCCCAAATTCAGAGAATCACACAGAAATTTCAGGTCTTAGCCAAAGCACGCAATCAAGACCTTGCAAAGTTTCCAGTATTGTGTTTCAGCAAGAATTGCTTCCATCCTTTCACATGAAAAGGACAAGAGACAGTTGAGGGACCAGATTTCTGAAAGAATTCTTTAGGACGTGTCCTTTTCTGGTTTGGGGAACAACAACAACAACAAAAGTAGTGACCAATTAGATTTCATCTGCATCAGGCTTGAAGGAGCACACCAATCCATACAATCCATAGATAGTTAGATAGTTAAGAGTGCATCTCAAAAGATAAAATGTAGCAGGGCTGCCTCTCTCGATATGATCTCAATATGATCTGGATTAAGAGTATAGTATTCCAACTTCTACACTGATTTCATGTAAATTGCCACTATACTCTATGGTACGCGTAAGGATGATTTTGCAATTAAACCATGGGAAAAAAGGCACATTTAAAGGATGTAGAAAAAGAGTTTATTAGTTAAATCATTCTTTGCTGTTTAGACCTTGATGCTATGGCTACTCCAACACTATCTGGTGAAGTTAGGTTCCTGGGTCCTTATTTAGGACCACAATATATGATCAAATTTTTGAAAATGTAGAGTCGTTAGCAAATCTCACTACCTTTTCTAGGAAAATAAACCAAAAAACTCTTTTACAATTCTACAGATTTGTAGAATACATACATATTATTTGTAGAATGCTTACATATTAAAGTACCTAACCGGACAGAGGAGATTGATTTTTATATCCTTTATAATTTATTTGGGCTTTAAATTTCAAGTTATCTGCAAAACAAAGCTATTGCCTACAGACACTGAACACCTATTGAGCTCAGATAAAGAAATAGTTACTGCATTTACCTACACATCATCCTATGTTTCACTATACAACTGATGGAAAAAATCCATTCAAAGATCCTGCTGAGCCAAGTACTAAAAGGCTGATTTAAATTCCCTCTAGAAAAGCAATTAATATACCCAAAACCTTTCCAGGATTTCATCAGATGTGCTGGCTGAAATAAGACCAGATTATTTACGCAATATCCCCAGTGAAGGCCGGAGCAAATGCATGGCAAAGGAAGGAACAGCATGGGAGCCATTAGCCTGCAGGAGAATCCTACCAGTAAAGCCAGGACTGCAACGGTGAGCGTGACTGAGACAAGCAAGGAGCAACCTCAACTCCATGCAAACTTCATGGCAGCAAGTCTACTCATCAAGAAAACAGCTGTTCATTCACAGCACACTAGCATAAGAAAGCAGGAACTGGCCAGTAATAATTATTTTATTCAACTAGTGAGAGGGAAGC